CCTGTCATTTTTCTAGCAGATGCGATCGATACAATGTTATGGTCCTTGAAGGTGAAATCCTCCGACATGATCACTCCCAGGTCTTTGACGTTGGTGTTTCACTCTATTTTGTGGCCAGAATTTGTTTTGTACTCTGATGAAGATTTAATTTCCTCGTGTTTACCATATCTGAGTAATTGAAATTTCTCATCGTTGAACTTCATATTGTTTTCTGCAGCCCACTGAAAGATTTGGTTGATGTCCGCCTGGAGCCTTGCAGTGTCTGCAATGGAAGACACTGTCATGCAGATTCGGGTGTCATCTGCAAAGGAAGACACGATGCTGTGGCTGACATCCTTGTCTATGTCGGATATGAGGATGAGGAACAAGATGGGAGCGAGTACTGTGCCTTGTGGAACAGAGCTTTTCACCGTAGCTGCCTCGGACTTTATTCGGGCCCTTTATGTGCATTGCATTTTTGCAGTGTGAGGCGGACACAAGGAATGTCAAAAAGTGTTCTGTGCCTCGTGTTATGCCTGTGTGTTCTGTTGAAGCTGTCTAGAAGTTTGAGTGGAGAGTTGATATTGGAATTTAACCCGTAAACGGTCCAAACGTATATATACGTTTTTTCAACATTTGAATGTATGTAAAAAAAGGTAGATCTTTTTTTTTTTTACATTTGAAAATGTGTAAAAAAACTTTGATCTACTTTTTTTTTTTTTATATTTGAAAATATGTAAAAAAAACGTAGATCTACTTTTGGAGCACTACACATGTGAACGTAGATCTGCTTGGACCGTTTACGGGTTAATGTTCTGTATATAAAGTAGGCACAATAATAAGTGTGTATATTATGTATATTAAGTATATGTATTATGTATATTATGTATGTATTATGTATGTATTATGTATTATGTATGTATTATGTATTATGTATTATGTATATTAAGTAAGTTCATGTGAACGTAGATCTGATTGGACCGTTTACGGGTTAATGTTCTGTATATAAAGTAGGCACAATAATAAGTGTGTATATTACGTATATTAAGTAAGTTCATGCTTTTAAAGAGTGGTGGGGTGTGTTGTCTGGCTAATAATAATAATAATATCTTTTTTCTGCCACCACTCCACATTAGATCGATTGCTAGCGCACTCAGCTCGCACACTGAAGTCCGGATTTCGAATCTCCAATACGGCTAGAAAACACTAGGGACGTGTTTCCGTAAGACATCTGCTGTCCCTGTTCACCCAACAGTGTAAAATGGATACCTGGGTGTTAGTGGGCTGGTGTCGGTCGCATCCTGGGACAAAGCTGACCAAATTTGCCCAAAATGCTGTGCGTAACAAGCGACTTTCTATATAATAATAATAATAAATTTATTTTGACACAATACATGGTTGTACAAAGGAATATAATAGTTGTGTACATGCCAAAAGCCCTTTGTATGCAGAACATTTCAGGCAAACTTAAAATTAACTTAAGATTAATAAGGTAATAACAGATTAAATGGTCATTAGATGAGTTGCAGTGAGTACAAGATAATTGAGTATTAAGAAGTAATGCTATATGGCTTTAATAAGTCTAGTAGGGAAGTTTAGTATAGAATAATTACAGTTTTGAATTACTTTACAAAATTACAATATTATAATGGAACAATTTAAACAATTTACAATATGTATAAAGTATTACAATTGAGTATTTAAAACGATGAAATTTGAACATTCTAATTTTGAAGTAATTACAGTATTACAACAGAGCAATTTTAAAAATTTACAATATTAAGTATTACAATTTAGTATTCAAAACAATGAAATTTGAACATCCTAATTTTGAAGTAATGAGTACATGGTTGAGCAATCCTCAGCACAATATAATGAAATTGAGACATTATTAGTAATTTTTTGTGTGGGTTTTGAGTAACTGGTAGGTATTAAGTACAATTTAAATGTCTGGGTAATTTTGGGCGATGAGGAGATTTCTAAGTAGGGTCTTAAACTGATCTGCTGGCAGCAGGGGTCCTTTAGTGTGTTCTGGTAATTAATTCCAGATCTTCAGGCGCTTTACGTGCATGAATATGTATGTCATTGATGTCAAGTAAGCCTGTATACTTTGTACATGTACAGTGGACCCCCGGTTAACGATATTTTTTCACTCCAGAAGTATGTTCAGGTGCCAGTACTGACCGAATTTGTTCCCATAAGAAATATTGTGAAGTAGATTAGTCCATTCCATTCCCCCAAACATACACATACAAACGCACTTACATAAATACACTTACATAATTGGTCGCATTCGGAGGTGATCGTTATGCGGGGGTCCACTGTACTTTTAGAAATAAAGATATTATTATTATTATTATTATTATTATTATTATTATTATTAGCTGATGAAGCAATTCATTAAGACCTTGGCCCAAGATGGCAATTGCTTCAAATACATTTGTAAAGTATTTCCTAGACTAAGTATGGAAAAACTGAAAGTTGGACTCTTTGATGGTCCTCAAATTTGAAAGCTTATCAAGGATTCTAATTTCACACAATGTATGAATTGTGTTGAAGCTTCTGCATGGTGCAGCTATGTGTCAGTTGTCAAGAACTTCTCGGGTAATCATAAAGCAGAGAATTATGAAGAACTGCTGCAAAACATGCTGACAAGCTTTAAGAATTTAGGTACTAATATGAGCACAAAAGTACACTTTCTCCATAGCCACCTTGATAGATTTCCACATAATCTTGGTGAGGTCAGTGAGGAACAAGGCGAGAGGTTCCAGCAAGATATAAAGGTGATGGAGGAAAGGTATCAAGGCAGACGAGACACACATGATGGCAGACTATTGCTGGAGCCTCCAACGGGATTGTGCTGATGACCAACACAGAAGAAAATCATATAAATAAAGTTTCCATATACAGAATTAGTGGTATCTGAATTATCTTACTATGTTAACCTGTTATTAAATAGAATGAAGTGCTAGTATGTATTACAGGATTTGACTTTTGCATGATCTATAAAATAATTTCAACGCAATTTTGTCAGTTAGACCTGCCTAATCAATGTATTTTTCTCATCTTTTATGTTTTTCAATGTGATACCAAATTTATTAAAAACTAGAGCCAATCAAACAAAACCAATGATATATTTGGGATCAGCACCACAAACTTACCCTAAAATCGGTGTAATATCATTGGCCAGAAAATGAGTGTTGACCAATGAATGTATTAAGTCTAGGATTATATAATCTACTAAGTGCTGGGACTGTTAATGTCACAGATCATTTGGGGAATGGATAGTAATGGGATTGATTGGAATAGGGAAAGGTGACTCCAATTTACCAGATCCAGAGCCCTTTACCAGCATGTTGTTGCTGTGAATGTGATATGAAGGAAACATGAAGGAAGAAATGCAATTCTGCTGTACACAGCAGATGAATATCCCTGCTGGAAGTTAGGGATGTCAGTCTGAACCTTCTTTAATTTACATAATTTCACTAGATCCTTCATCAGTAAGCCACGAGTGTTGTAAGAGGTGACCTAAATCCTGGGAGCACAGGGATAGTGACCCCTTCTCCTGCATAAATTACTACACAGTGCTTCGTGAACTAGCTAGGTGAGTGAGGACTCTCATCTAGGTAGTCCATGCGTCGCAGCTGTCCAGGTGAATGCTATTACTGGGCACAGATTTGTGTGTCCTCCTCAGTAATAACTTCTACCTGGTCTTGTTGTGTATATTTCTTGTACATTTTTTTTGTCTAAGGGCAAAGTGTGATGTAAATATTCTGCAGAGAATTTGGAGTGTGGAAATTAGGTGTGGAGTTACTAAAATTATTAGTCAGAGGGCTGAAAAGAGGTTGTTGGGGTGGTTTGGTCATTTCGAGAGAATGGATCAAAGTAGAATGAATTGGAGAGCGTATAAATCTGTAGGGGAAGGAAGGCAGGGTAGGGGTCGTCCTCAGAAAGGTTGGAGGGAGCGGTTAAGGAGGTTTTGTGGGTGAGAGGCTTGGACTTCCAGCATGTGTGAGTGTGTTAGATAGGAGTGAATGGAGACGAATGGTTTTTGGGACCTGACGAGCTGTTGGAGTGTGAGCAGGGTAATATTTAGTGAAGGGATTCAGAGAAACCGGTTATTTTTATATAGCCGGACTTGAGTACTGGAAATGGGAAGTACAACGCCTGCACTTTAAAGAAAGGGTTTGGGATATTGGCAGTTTGTAGGGGTATGCTATATATCTTTATACACCTACCATCCGACACGACCTGCTTGACATACGACCATTCGACTTACGACCTTGTTTTCTATGCCAAATTTCTGGGAAATAAACAACTGTTTGTGTTGTACACAGTGTTTATCATAAACCTTACAGTATAAAATACAGTACTAACAACATAAAAAGTAAAGTAAAAAATGAAATACCAAAATAAAACAATAAAATAAAGTCATTACAAAAATGTGATGTTGATATTCAGTGGTAAGGTTCGACTTACGTCCATTTCGACTTACGATTGGTTTGTCAGAACCGAACTTGGTCGTAAGTCGGATGGTACCTGTATATGCTTCTAAACTGTTGTATCTGGGTATCTCTGCAGAGACAGTGATTGTGTGTGAGTGAGGTGAAAGTGTTGAATGATGATGAAAGAATTTTCTTTTTGGGGAATTTCTTTCTTTTTGGGTCACCCTGCCTCGGTGGGAGACAGCTGGTGAGCTGAAAAAATTCATTAGCACAATTAAAAAAATATTTCAAGTTTACCATACCCCCGGCTGGGATTGAACCCGCGGTCATAGAGTCTCAAAACTCCAGCCCATCTCGTTAGCCACTAGACCAGCTAGCCACAATAAGATTCATCCAACTAGGTATATTTCTACACCATAGGAAGGTTAGCACAGGCACCTCTGTGGTCACAGAGGTGCCTGTGCTAACCTTCCTATGGTGTAGAAATATACCTAGTTGGATGAATCTTATCGTGGCTAGTTGGTCTAGTGGCTAACACGACGGTCTGGAGTTTTGAGACTCTATGACCGCGGGTTCAATCCCGGCCGGGGGTATGGTTTGTCTGCAATCGTGTCATTATGATTTCTTGAGTAATTTCAAGTTTACTATATAACAGTAATATAAAAGTAAACAGTTAATACTAAAGGCCATTTCATAGTAAAAGTTCTATGTCCTCCTTCAATTTATTTTATGTGAATTTGGTATTACATGAGGCCCCATTTCTATCAGTAATTTCTTATGTGCAATATATATCTTTGTAGTACACAGTGTTGAGTAAAAATTTTATTAAAGATTCTTTTTATGATGAATTAAGTGTTGATGAATGAAGTAGAGCAATTATCATGGGCCTGGAGCACACCTGCTGTACAAAGCCAGGGACACCTGTACTCTACAAGTATGAATCATCCAGAAGTATGGTTAGTTTGGTTTGCTTTTGTAATGTTATTTATCGCTCATTTTCCGTAAGAAAGCAATTCCCTTACTAACTGCCTCCTCCACGGCTGAGAAGTTGGGTTTAGCATTATAATGTCTGCCCCTGTGACTTGTAGGTCCGTAGTACTCATATGTAGATGGAGGTGCAAATTCACTCTCTCTCTCTTCACTGTGATAGTCTGTCTTGTTGTCATCTTGGGTAGTGTTTGCAGGATTTGAATCTTGTGGTTGATCATAGTTTAACCAATTTTCTGGTTGTGAATCAAGAGATTTGGAGGAATAGTCATGGGATGTACTGAATGAGGGGCGAAATCCATGTGACTTTTGCTGTCTGCCTTTAAATTTTTTATTGGAGCTATAGGAAGACGGTGGAGCAAATTCATTATTTCTCTGATTTCTTTGACGATTGACCCATTCTTCTTGTGTCAGAGTTGTTGATACCCCTTCCTTTCCTACATCCCATTCTCTAACAGGTTTCTTGTCTTCAGATTTTTCTTCTGGTATTGCTAATGGTGGTGGTGGTGGTGGTGGAGGGCCAATCAAATTATTGTCTTCGTCATCTGAGACAGGTGGCGTCTTCAGTGTATCATCTGTAAATTGTGGAAAAATACATGAAAATGACTGCATTTTTAAAAAAACATAAATGTATATAAAATACACTGATAACCAGCACATAGCACAAAGAAGCTTATGACAATATTTCAATCTGACTTGGACCATTAACAGGTCGTGTGTGCAGGTTATGTGTGTACTGTTCCAGTCACGGTATTGTGCCATTCTATTCTTTAATGTGTGTAAATCCCTTCCCATGTATAAATTAATAAATGTGAAAAAAAGAAACACTTGTTTCTTCTTTTTTGGGTCACCATGCCTCAGTGGGACATGGCTCGGTTAAAAAAAATGTGGGTAAACGAATAAAAGAACTCAAATATTTATGTCTTGCCTGATTGTTTTTATTTATAGTTACTTATGTCCTAGGTAGTTACTTATGTCCTAGGTAGTTACTTATGTCCTAGGTAGTTACTTATGTCCTAGGTAGTTACTTATGTCCTAGGTAGCAGGTTGGTAGACAGCAACTACCCAGGGAGGTACTACTGTCCTGCCAAGTGAGTGTAAAATGAAAGCCTGTAATTGTTTTACATGATGGTAGGATTGCTGGTGTCCTTTTTTCTGTCTCATGAACATGCAAGATTTCAGGTACCTGCCTGGAGTCCACCTGGAGGGTATTCCAGGGATCAATGCCCCCGCGGCCCAGTCCAAGACCAGGCCTCCTAGTGGATCAGGGCCTGATCAACCAGGCTGTTACTGCTGGCCGCACGTAGTCCAATGTACGAACCACAGCCCGGCTGATCTGGCACCGACTTCAAGTATCTGTCCAGCTCCCTCTTCAAGGCAGCCAGGGCCCTATTGGTATTTCCCCTTATGCATGGTGGGAGGCTGTTGAACAGTCTTGGGTCCCAGACACTTATGGTGTTTTCTCTTAGTGTACCAATGGTGCCCCTGCTTTTCACTGTTGGGTATTTTGCACCACCTGCCCAGTCTTTTACTTTTGTAGGGAGTGATTTCTGTGTGCAGATTTGGGACCATTCCTTCTAGGATTTTCCAAGTGTAGATTATGATATATCTCTCTCACCTGCGTTTACCTGGAGTTTACCTGGAGAGAGTTCCGGGGGTCAACGCCCCCGCGGCCCGGTCTGTGACCAGGCCTCCTTAGGTCCGTGTCCCAGGATGCGACCCACACCAGTCGACTAACACCCAGGTACCCATTTTACTGATGGGGAACATAGACAACAGGTTGAAAGAAACACGTCCAATGTTTCTACTCTGGCTGGGAATCGAACCCAGGCCCTCACCGTGTGAAGCGAGAGCGTTAACCACCAGGCCACCAGAGCCAATGAGTACAAGTCAAGTGCTTCCAAGCGTTCCCAGTAGTTGAGGTATTTGATAGAACATATGCAGTAAATGCTCTCTGAACACACTCTAGATCTGCAATTTCACCTACATTGAACAGAGATGTTAATGAACAGCAATATTCCAGCTTAGAGAGAACAAGTGATTTGAAAAGGATCATCACTGGCTTGGCATCTCTTGTTTTGAACATTTTTATTACCCATCCTATCATTTTCTTTGCAGTTGTGATCACGGCATTGTTATGATCCATGAAAGTGAGATCCTCAGATATTACCACTCCCAGGTCCCTCACATTACTTTTCCACTCATCAGAGTTTGTAGTATACTGTGGACCCCCGCCTTACGATGGCATCGCGTTACATTAAATCCGCAATGCAATACATTACATTCTAATGCAAAAATTTTGCCTCGCCTCACGCAATTCGTCTGGGACGCATCCCACACGTGGCCTCAGCTGGCCCGTGGGTGCCAGTGTTTACAAGCCAGCCAGTGCGGTCGCATCTAAGCATACATTCGGTACATTTCACCTTATCCCAGTGTTTTTTGTGCTTGTAACTGCAAAATAAGTCACCATGGGCCCCAAGAAAGCTTCTAGTGCCAACCCTGTGGTAAAAAAGGTGAAAATTACTATGGAAATGAAGAAAGAGATAATTGTTAAGTATGAAAGTGGAGTGCGTGTCTCGGAGCTGGCCAGGTTGTATACCAAACCCCAATCAACCATCGCTACTATCGTGGCTGTTCTTGCAAAAGGTGAAAGTTTGTTTTTGAAACAGAGATCGCAAGTACTCAAAGATGTTGAGAGGCTGTTATTGGTGTGGATAAATGAAAACAGATAGCAGGAGATACCATCTCTCAAGCGTTCATATGTGAAAAGGCTAGGAAGTTGCATGAGGATTTAATTAGAAAAATGCCTGCAATTAGTGGTGATGTGAGTGAATTTAAGGCCAGCAAAGGTTGGTTTGAGAGATTTAAGAATCGTAGTGGCATACATAGTGTGATAAGACACGGTGAGGCTGCCAGTTCAGACCACAAAGCGGCTGAAAAATATGTGCAGCAATTCAAGGAGTACAAAGAGGCTAAAGGATTGAAACCTGAACAAGTGTTTAATTGTGACTAAACAGGCCTGTTTTGGAACTAAATGCCAAACAGGACCTACATTACTCAGGAGGAAAAGGCACTCCCAGGACATACACCTATGAAAGACAGGCTTACTCTCATGATGTGTGCTAATGCTAGTGGTGATTGCAAAGTGAGGCCTTTATTGGTGTATCACTCTGAAACTCCCAGAGCGTTCAGGCAAAACAATGTCGTCAAGGCTAATTCGTGTGTGCTGTGGAGGGCAAACAGTAAGACATGGGGTCACTAGGGACTTTTTCTATGACTGGTTACACCATGCATTTGCCCCCACTGTGAAAAATTACCTAATGGAAAATAAATTGGACCTTAAGTGCCTCCTAGTCATCATTCAGAGTCGGCAGAACAACTTTCTGGGGACATGAGCTTCATTAAGATCAAGTTTTTACCTCCTAATACCACTCCTCTCCTGCAGCCCATGGACCAGCAGGTCATTTCAAACTTCAAAAAACTCTACACAAAAGCTGTTTCAAAAGTTCTCTGAAGTGACCTCAGACACTCGACTGACTCTAAGAGAGTTTTGGAAAGATCACTTTAGTATCCTCAGTTGTGTAAACTTTATAGTTAAGGTTTGGGAGGGAGTGACTAAGAGGACCTTGAGCTCTGCTTGGGAGAAACTGTGGCCAGAATGTGTAGACCAAAGGGATTTTGAAGGGTTTGAGGCTAACCCTGAAAAGCATATGCCAGTTGTGGAATCAACTGTGGCATTGGGGAAGTCCTTGGGGTTGGAGGTTAGTGGGGAGGATGTGGAAGAGTTGGTGGAGGAGGACAATGAAGAACTAACCACTGATGATCTGCAAGATCATCTTCAACAGCAAGAGGCCAGACCTGAGGAAACTGCTTCAGAGGAGGGGAGAGAGAAATTGAAGAAGTTGTCTACTTCAAAGATTAAGGAAATTTGTGCAAAGTGGCTTGAAGTGCAAACCTTTATGGATGAAAATCACCCTCAGACAGCTACTGCAAGCCATACTGGTGACTATTACAATGACAATGTTGTGAACCACTTTAGACAAATCATGAAGGAACGAGAGGTACAGAGCTCTGTGGACTGATTTGTTGTGCGACAGAGGTCCAGTGACTCAAGCTGGTCCTAGTGGCATTAAAAGAAGAAGGGATGTAACCCTGGAAAAGGACTTGCTACCTCAAGTCCTAATGGAAGGGGATTCCCCTTCTAAACAATAACAACTTCCACACTCTCCCCTCCTCCCATCCCATCAATCATCACCAGATCTTCAATAAAGGTAAGTGTCATGTATTCTATTCTTAGTAGAGTATTAACTGTGCATGTCTTCTTCAGTTTGTGTGTATTAAAATTAATATTTCATGTGGTAAAAAATTTTTTTTTCATACTTTTGGGTGTCTTGCATGGATTAATTTGATTTCCATTATTTCTTATGGGGAAAATTAATTCGCCATATGATAATTTCGGCATACGATGAGCTCTCAGGAACGGATTAATATCGTAAGGCGGGGGTCCACTGTACTCAATTCTAGTTATTATCTCCAGTTTTCCATAACGGAGTAGTTGGAATTTGTCTCCAATGAGCATCACATGGTTTTCCGCTGCCCATTGGAAAACTTGGTTTATTTCTTCTTGGAGGTTAACCGTGTCCTCAATAGGTGACAGTCTCATGCTGATCCAAGTATCATCTGCAAAGGATGACACAGTGCTGTGGATTACATCTCTGTCTATGTCTGATATGAGGATGAGGAACAAGATGAATGCGAGTACTGTACCTTGTGGAACAGCTTTTCACTGTGGCAGCCTCCAATTTAACTCTGTTGACCACTACTCTTTGTGTTCGAATGGTTAGAAAGTCAAAGATCCATCTCTCCACTTTGCCAGTTATTCCTTTAGCATGTATTTTATGCGCTATCACGCTGTGATCGCACTTGTCAAATGCTTTTGCAAAGTCTATGTATATTACATCTGCATTCTGTGTTTCTTCCAGTGCATCCAAGACTATATCATAGTGATCCAGTAGTTGTGAGAGGCAGGAGCGACCTGCTCTGAACTCATGTTGCCCTGGATTGTGCGGTTTTTGGGAATCCAAGTGGTTTGCTATCCTGCTTCTTAGCACTCTTTCAAAGATTTTTATGATTTGGGACGTTAGAGTTAGAGCTATTGGTCTAGTTCTTAGCTAATGCTTTGCTGCCAGCATAAACAAAGCCACATTGATGATGTGTCAACCACTCCTTCGTATTTTTGTACAATTTCCTTCTTCAATTCTATCGTATTTATTATTATAATTACTACTATTGTTATTATTAGCAGTAGCAGAAATGTTGATTCTTTGCTGTGTTCAAGAGTCAACACATGATGTCACCGTCCAATACCTGTCTGAATAGCCATTCCAATATGCAGTCATGAATGGGTTTACATTATTTATACTGTAGTTTAATAGCAAATAATGAACAAACAAAACATTCACCACACTGGTGGGAGGGCTGGCTGCCAGTTGGGGGGGGTCGGAGGGAGGGTAGTAGGGACTCGCAGTGGTTGAGGAAGTTGAGGCAGCGGTGAAGGCAGTGGTATTTAATAACATACATGTTATTAAACCATAACATGTATGTATTTAGTACAATTTACGACATTTTCATGTATTTTATGATTGTTCATGGTTCAACAAGTTAAGGAAGAAGTATTGTATTATATTTCCCTACAATATATTGGGACACCAAACATTCGTGATTTTTCAACATTCGCGAGGCTCTTGATCCCCTAACCCTCGCGAATGTTGAGGGAGACCTGTACATCATAATTTGTGAGTTTAGCAATGTGAATGCTTTTGTTTTGATGCTTGGAAAAGCACAGGCTGCATGTGATCCTGGATTTCCTTCCAAGGGTTTTTTTACATTTCCCACAGGTATGCTGTACTGACATCCTGCCCGTATCCTACTTCACTCTGTATGCCATGAAAAGAACTGATTTCCACTTTACCTTTCTCTGCACTGGTGACGGTCACACTAGGTCACACTACACATGCATGAACAAGCATATACATATATACACACCCCTCTGGATTTTCTTCTATTTTTCTTACTAGTTCTTGTTCTTGTTTAATTCCTCTTATCTCCATGGGGAAGTGGGACAGAATTCTTTCTCCATAAGTCATGCATGTCGTAAGAGGGGACTAATATGCCAGGAGCAAGGGGCTAGTAACCCCTTCTCCTGTATATACAGTGGACGCCCGGTTTACGATATTATTTCATTCCAGAAGTATGTTCAGGTGCCAGTACTGACCGAATTTGTTCCCATAAGGAATATTGTGAATTAGATTAGTCCATTTCAGACCCCCAAACATACACATACAAATGCACTTACATAATTGGTCGCATTAGGAGCTGATCGTAAACCGGGGGTCCACTGTATTACTAAATTTTAAAAGAGAAACTTTTGTTTGTTTTTTTGGGGCTACCCTGCTTCAGTGGGATATGGCCACCATGTGTTAATGCAACTGCTTCAGTGGGATATGGCCACCATGTGTTAATGCAACTGCTTCAGTGGGATATGGCCACCATGTGTTAATGCAACTGCTTCAGTGGGATATGGCCACCATGTGTTAATGCAACTGCTTCAGTGGGATATGGCCACCATGTGTTAATGCAACTGCTTCAGTGGGATATGGCCACCATGTGTTAATGCAACTGCTTCAGTGGGATATGGCCACCATGTGTTAATGCAACTGCTTCAGTGGGATATGGCCACCATGTGTTAATGCAACTGCCTCCCTTGCAGTTTTTATATGCATTTTATAATGTTCTTAAAATTTTTGATAAAATAAATACTAGAGGTGCTTTTTTAGGCATTCTATATCATGAATATATTGTAAAATAAACAGTGAGGTATATTCACAGCAATATCTGTAAAAATTTAATGGATCAATTTATGACAATTATTTAAAAATACCTTTAATGGGCAACCCCATCTTGAGTCTCTTCCTCTGGCGAACTTTTTCAAGCCTCGACTGTAACATCTTTTGCTGTTTAGCTGCACCAGCAGCTTTTGCAGCCTCCTTTTGCTGTGTCTCCCTTCGCAGCTCTTTTAGTAAATCCATTTGCTCCTGTCTCTCTTTCTCATCACTGGAGAATTTCATGAAGCCGGCGCCGTGTGTTCGTGCCTCTGTTGGACAAATATTTTTATAGTTATTTTTTCATTATTCAATAATCTTACACAGCATTTACTTCAGTAATATAATGATTAAACAGCTAAGGTATTCAATAAATTCATACAGCTAGGGCTAGATTAGTGTAAATAATGAATCCCGTCGAGCAGTCTCATTATTCAAATTTGTACTATTCGAATTATATGTAATTTTTGCACATAATACAGGGAATCTTTAACTTAAGAACATGTTGGGGACCTTCTGTATTGTGTATAATAATGATATTACACAATAATGATATAATAATGATATTATACACAATAATGATATAATAATGATATTACACATGATAATGATATAATAATAATATTACACATGATAATGATATAATAATGATATTACACACGATAATGATATAATGATATTACACATGATAATGATATAATAATGATATTACACATGATAATGATATAATAATAATATTACACATGATAATGATATAATGATATTACACATGATAATGATATAATAATGATATTACACATGATAATGATATAATAATGATATTACACATCAGAGACTATTGAGGAAAATTAAAGCACATGGAATAGGAGGAGAAATTTTTTCCTGGATAGAGGCATGGTTGACAAATAGGCAGCAGAGAGTTTGCATAAATGGGGAGAAATCAGAGTGGGAAGCGTCACGAGCGGTGTTCCACAGGGGTCAGTGTTGGGCCCCCTGCTGTTCACAATCTACATAAACGACATAGATGAGGGCATAAAGAGCGACATCGGCAAGTTTGCCGATGACACCAAAATAGGCCGTCGAATTCATTCTGACGAGGACATTCGAGCACTCCAGGAGGATTTGAATAGACTGATGCAGTGGTCGGAGAAGTGGCAGATGCAGTTTAATATAGACAAATGCAAAGTTCTAAATGTTGGACAGGACAATAACCATGCCACATATAAACTAAATAATGTAGATCTTAATATTACGGATTGCGAAAAAGATTTAGGAGTTCTGGTTAGCAGTAATCTGAAACCAAGACAACAGTGCATAAGTGTTTCGCAATAAAGCTAATAGAATCCTTGGCTTCATATCAAGAAGCATAAATAATAGGAGTCCTCAGGTTGTTCTTCAACTCTATACATCCTTGGTTAGGCCTCTTTTAGATTATGCTGCACAGTTTTGGTCACCGTATTACAGAATGGATATAAATTCTCTGGAAAATGTACAAAGGAGGATGCCCAAAGATGATCCCATGTATCAGAAACCTTCCCTATGAGGATGACTAAGGGCCCTGAAACTGCACTCTCTAGAAAGACGTAGAATTAGGGGGGATATGATTGAGGTTTATAAGTGGAAGACAGGAAAAAAATAAAGGGGATGTAAATAGTGTGCTGAAAATGTCTAGCCTAGACAGGACTCGCAGCAATGGTTTTAAGTTGGAAAAATTCAGATTCAGGAGGGATATAGGAAAGTACTGGTTTGGTAATAGAGTTGTGGATGAGTGGAACAAACTCCCAAGTTTCCGTTATAAAGGCCAGAACGTTGTGTAGCTTTAAAAATAGGTTGGATAAATACATGAGTAGATGTGGGTTTGGGTGTGAGTTGGACCTGATAGCTTGTGCTAACAGGTCGGTTGCCGTGTTCCTCCCTTAAGTCAATGTGACCTGACCTGACTAGGTTGGGTGCATTGGCTTAAGCCGGTAGGGACTTGGACCTGCCTCGCATGGGCCAGTAGGCCTTCTGCAGTGTTCCTTCGTTCTTATGTTCTTATGTTCTTATGATAATGATATAATGATATTACACATGATAATGATATAATAATGATATTACACATGATAATGATATAATAATGATATTACACATGATAATGATATAATAATGATATTACACATGATAATGATATAATGATATTACACATGATAATGATATAATGATATTACACATGATAATGATATAATAATGATATTACACATGATAATGATATAATAATGATATTACACATGATAATGATATAATAATGATATTACACATGATAATGATATAATAAAGATATTACACATGATAATGATATAATGATATTACACATGATAATGATATAATGATATTACACATGATAATGATATAATAATGATATTACACATGATAATGATATAATAATGATATTACACATGATAATGATATAATAATGATATTACACACAATAATGATATAATAATAATATTACACACAATAATGATATAATAATGATATTACACACAATAATGATATAATAATAATATTACACACAATAATGATATAATAATGATATTACACATGATAATGATATAATAATGATATTACACACAATAATGATATAATAATAATATTACACACAATAATGATATAATAATGATATTACACACAATAATGATATAATAATAATATTACACACAAAATGATATAATAATGATATTACCCCACAATAATGATTAATAATAATATTTCACTGACACGGAAATTCTCAATAGTTTGTAAGTTAGGACCACTGTAATTTTTTCTGGAGTAAACACATTTAGTATTCTACCTCACAACTGGAGTTTCCCTGGAGAGAGTTTCGGGGGTCAACGCCCCCGCGGCCCGGTCTGTGCCCGGGCCCCCCTGGTGGATCATGCCTATCAACCGGCTGTTGCGGCGGCTGCACGCAAACCCAACACGACCCACAGCCCGCTGATCAAGACCGACTGGTTTTTTACCTAATAAAAACAACAGATCTTGATAATGCAGGTTTTTCTTAAGGGCATTAATTCTTCCACTGTTTCCCCTTCTGTCTTTGAATCTCCCCGACGAACTCTTCAAAGGAGATCGGTTGTTCCAAAGTGCCCTCCTTTTGGGATGACTTTTAATGACACATTATCGATTTTTATGTCCGTAATGATAGATTACAACAAAACCTGAATGGGAAAATGCATCTTCTCTGTCAGTAAACGGAGGATCAACCTCCCCATGTCTGCACTGAATGACCCCTAGGGTTTTTTAGCACTTTAAATGAATAATTAAAAAAAATGATGCAGATTTGAGAAGGAAAAATAAAACACAAATACAGGGACCCCCGGAAACGTTTTTTTTCACTCCAAAGTAGTTCAGGTGCCAGTACTGACCGAAATTTGTTCCCATAAGGAATATTGGGAGTAGATTAGTCCTTTTCGCCCCCCAAACAAACACGTACAAACGCACTTACAAAATCACTTACATAATTGGCGCATTCGGGGGATCGTTAGGGGGGGTCCACTGACTAAAATTCGTTTCTTTAAATGAGTCGTTTCTCCCATCGCACTTTATAAAGTAACAAAATATCTATTTTTGCATCGTGTTGATATTTTTACATTTATCTTCGATGATTTTATTAAGCTCAGGCTTCAAAAAAGTACTTTTTCACAGGTATCATAAACCTTAAAGGGAAGGGGCAAGAAAATCTTTTTAATTAAAGGAATGGATGCTTTTTTTTCCATTTTCCTTAAATCAAAAATCCTTCAAGAACCCAAACAGTACCGATCAGCCGGGTTGTGGTTCGAAATTTGGGTTTTTACATGTACTAGCGTAACAGCCAGGTTCATCGACCCTGACCCAAGACTGGGCCGGTTCAACGGGGTCAGGGGGTGTTGACCCCCAAAACCCTCTCCAGCAACTCAAGGTAATATAAGAAAATTGACGTTTTTGCGTTATCCTAGGAATTTACACATATTTATAGGAGACATTTGTTTTTTATGTGTACTAAACTGAAAGTAAATAAATTTACATATTTTCTGGCATATAAGGCATACAAGATGTGAAAAAGGGAAAAAATCGAAGTATGAGAGTGTGTGAGATTTTGTTGAGCTTGCCAGGTTTGTAGGGGAAAAACAAGTCCCATCGGTTCTATCCTGGAAAAGAAAGAACAAATCAAGGAAGCTGATTTTGCAAAATGTTTAATATGTTAACCAAAAAAGACCACAAAATCGATCAGTTCAAAGTTTTTGCTGGTGTGGATCAAGGAAAAGAGGGCAATGATGTTTTTTCAGAGACCATTTTTTTGCGAAAAGGCAAGGAATTGCATGTGACTGGTACAAAAAAACCCCGGGAACCAGTGCTGATAAAATTTTAAACCCCTTTCGGGGTTTTGGCCTATAGTACGGCTTGGGCGCGGGGGTTTTTGCTATAGATGCAAAAATTCAGCGCCTTCAAATCTTGTGGGAAAAGGCTGGTGGGCCTAGATGTGAGAGAAGGGGTCTGTGTGGTGGGTGTGCACAGCAAAAAAAAATCTGAGACCCATGGTGCATTGTGGGAACCTATTAGTACACCATTTCCCCATTCCTGGGGGTAAGAAGCTCCTCACCCCTGGGCGAATTGGGACACTTTTTTCCCCATGACATTCGAATACAATGGAATGCCAGGAAGAGATTTCAAGTTTTGGTGAGGTTTTGACTGAAACAAATTACCATAATATCGGAATAGTGAGAAAAAACCCGAGACCCTCACCTTCCCACCTCTGCGCTGGGTGTCTTGTTCACACTCCCTTGTACCAGAATCAAAAGGGGAAAAATCCTATTTTCCCAAACCCAACTCAGAGTGGCATTTTTGATGACAGTGATAGTGATTTTGAACACAAGCTCTTCAAACTAGTTCCAGTAGTGATAGTGAAGTGCAAAATTCCCAGTAAGTGTCAGTATATACGATGATATTGCGCTCTGGTAGTGTGCCCTATGCTATTCCCAAGGGGAAAAAAGTACACTCATACATCCCGGGCTGTACAACAGGAAAAAGACAGTGAAAATGCGATGATGTGTTGCAATTGGGGGTGGAAAATGTGCAGGTGGTGGTATGGTGGGGCCGGGCCCTGAGGGACCAGATGGGGCCCTCGCCCACCCACGCTGCCACCCCGCCGCTGCCTCAGTGTCACAACAAAAGGCCACCCCCCCCACCCCCACAAACCCGCCCCACAACTACCCGCCAAGTCCCCGTACCCACCCAGGGCCCCACCTGGGATTGGCAGGAAGCGTCAATTTTTTTTCCAAATCCCCACCATTTGATGACAGCCAATGGAATACAGCCCTGTTGTACACTGGGAAACAATGCCACTGAACTGGAATGTTTTCCAGTTATTTTTTGACGAACCCCTGATGGAAAGTATTGCATGGAAAGCAACAACTACGAGACACCATGGCAAACACAATATTTTTACCAAATCACATCTACCCTGGAAGGGGACAACTGTGGCTGGAGTATCTTTTCTTTGCCCCAATAATGTTTATGCCACATGTGTATAACACAGTGTGAAATCATATGGGCAAAGACCGCGATTGCAACCCCCGGTTTCAGTAATAAATGCCAGTGAATGTTTTGGTACTATTACATATGCTTTACTTCTCAGACAAAACCAAACCTGACAGAAACGACAGGGTTATATAACATAGGCAGTGTTTGTGTATCTGCAAAGAAATTCATATGTATTTTTATCCCTTTAAAGCTTGTAACTGATGATCTTTCATTCTGTTTAAAAGGGGCTTCTTTCAAACAGTACATACCCCAAACAAAGGAAACGCTTTCGTATAAAGTTGTTTTTGATTTGTGATTTTTCAGTGGTCTGGGATTGGATATTATTGGTACACTGGGAAATTATACATTGCAAAATACCCGGAAATTTTTTGGGCTCTCTGGTGATTGGTTGAAAATGATAAACCAATCTTGGAAGGGGCTTAATGGACCCCGGTTAAGGGATATTTTTTCATTTCCCGAAGTATGTTCGGTGCCGTAAATGACCCAATTTGTTCCCCTAAAGGAAAATTGTGAAATAGATTATCATTTTAGACCCCCCCAAAAATATCAACAAAACCCCTTTTAAAAACACTTACTAATTGGGCACTTGGGGGTGACGTTAAGCTTGGGTCCCCTTATTTTATACAGATAACGGGACACAAACCCTTACTCAGTGATTTTTTGCTAGTGAACATGACAGATGTGGCAAAGGTTGGTTTGAGGATTTTTTAAAACGTAGTGCCATACATAGGTGATAAGGCTGGGAGGCTGCCAGTTTTGGGCCACAAAGCGGCTGAAAAAATTTTTTTTATTTTTATTATCACACTGGCCGATTCCCACCAAAGGGAGGGTGGCCCCCAAAAAAAAAAAAACTTCACCATCATTCACTCCATCATGTCTTTCCAGAAGGGGGCTTTACACTACAGTTTTAAATGCAACATTAAAATCCCCCCTTCAGAGTGCAGGGACTGTATTCCCATCCCAGGACCAAGTCAGGGCCGCCGGTTTTCCCCGAACCCCCTTCAAATTTACTTTCTCACACTCCCAAAAGAGTCAAGTATTAAAAACCATTCGTCTCCATTCCTCCTATCAAACACGCTCACGACGCCTGCTGGGAAATCCCCGCCCCTCGCACACAAAACCCCTTTACCCCCTCCCTCCAACCTTTCCCAGGCCACCCCTACCCCCCCCTTCCTTCCATACAGATGTACACTCTTGAAGTCATTCTTTTCGCCCATTCCTCTACATGTCCGAACCACCTCACAACCCTTCCTCAGCCCCCTGGACAACAGTTTTGGTAACCCCCCCTCCTCCTAACTTTCCCAAACACGAAAATTTTCTGCATTATTTCACACCACACATTGCCCCAGACATGACATCTCCATGCCTCCCCCCTTTCCTCGTGCAACATTCATCACCCCTGCTTTACACCCATATAAGAGTGTTGGTAAAAACTATACTCTCATACATTCCCTCTTTGCCTCCAAGGACAAAGTTCTTTGTCTCCACAGACTCCTAAGTGCACCACTCACCCTTTTCCCCTCATCAATTCTATGATTCACCTCATCCTTCATAGACCCATCCGCTGACACCTCCACTCCCAAATATCTGAATACATTCACCTCCTCCATACTCTCTCCCTCCAATCTGATATCCAATCTTTCATCACCTAATATTTTTGTTATCCTCACAACCTTACTCTTTCCTGTATTCACTTTCAATTTTCTTCTTTTGCACACCCTACCAAATTCATCCACCAATCTCTGCAACTTCTCTTCAGAATCTCCCAAGAGCACAGTGTCATCAGCAAAGAGCAACTGTGACAACTCCCACTTTATGTGTGATTCCTTATCTTTTAACTCCACGCCTCTTGTCAAGACCCTCGCTTTACTTCTCTTACAACCCCATCTATAAATATATTAAACAACCACGGTGACATCACACATCCCTGTCTAACGCCTACTTTTACTGGGAAATAATTTCCCTCTTTCCTATGTACTCTAACTTGAGCCTCACTATCCTCGTAAAAACTCTTCACTGCTTTCAGTAACCTACCTCCTACACCATACACCTGCAACATCTGCCACATTGCCCCCCTATCCACCCTGGTCATACGCCTTTTCCAAATCCATAAATGCCACAAAGACCTCTTAGCCTTATCTAAATACTGTTCACTTATATGTTTCATTGTAAACACCTGGTCCACACACCCCTACCTTTCCTAAAGCCTCCTTGTTCATCTGCTATCCTATTCTCAGTCTTACTTTTAATTCTTTCAATAATAACTCTACCATACACTTTACCAGGTATACTCAACAGACTTATCCCCCTATAATTTTTTGCCTCTCTTTTTGTCCCCTTTGCCTTTATACAAAGGAACTATGCATGCTCTCTGCCAATCCCTAGGTACCTTACCCTCTTCCATACATTTATTAAATAATTGCACCAACCACTCCAAAACTATATCCCCACCTGCTTTATAACATTTCTATCTTTATCCCATCAATCCCGGCTGCCTTACCCCCTTTCATTTTACCTACTGCCTCACGAACTTCCCCCACACTCACAACTGGCTCTTCCTCACTCCTACAAGATGTTATTCCTCCCTGCCCTATACACGAAATCACAGCTTCCCTATCTTCATCAACATTTAACAATTCCTCAAAAATATTCCCTCCATCTTCCCAATACCCCTAACTCTCCATTTAATAACTCTCCTCTCCTATTTTTAACTGACAAATCCATTTGTTCTCTAGGCTTCCTTAACTTGCTAATCTCACTCCAAAACTTTTTCTTATTTTCAACAAAATTTGTTGATAACATCTCACCCACTCTCTCATTTGCTCTCTTTTTACATTGCTTCACCCCTCTCTAACTCTCTCTTTTTCTCCATATACTCTTCCCTCCTTGCATCACTTCTACTTTGTAAAAACTTCTCATATGCTAACTTTTTCTCCCTTACTACTCTCTTTACATCATCATTCCACCAATCGCTCCTCTTCCCTCCTGCACCCACTTTCCTGTAACCACAAACTTCTGCTGAACACTCTAACACTACATTTTTAAACCTACCCCATACCTCTTCGACCCCATTGCCTATGCTCACATTAGCCCATGTATCCTCCAATAGCTGTTTATATCTTTCCCTAACTGCCTCCTCTTTTAGTTTATAAACCTTCACCTCTCTCTTCCCTGATGCTTCTATTCTCCTTGTATCCCATCTACCTTTTACTCTCAGTGTAGCTACAACTAGAAAGTGATCTGATATATCTGTGGCCCCCCTATAAACATGTACATCCTGAAGTCTACTCAACAGTCTTTTATCTACCAATACATAATCCAACAAACTCCTGTCATTTCGCCCTACATCATATCTTGTATACTTATTTATCCTCTTTTTCTTAAAATATGTATTACCTATAACTAAACCCCTTTCTATACAAAGTTCAATCAAAGGGCTCCCATTATCATTTACACCTGGCACCCCAAACTTACCTACCACACCCTCTCTAAAAGTTTCTCCTACTTTAGCATTCAGGTCCCCTACCACAATTACTCTCTCACTTGGTTCAAAGGCTCCTATACATTCACTTAACATCTCCCAAAATCTCTCTCTCTCCTCTGCATTCCTTCTTCTCCAGGTGCATACACGCTTATTATGACCCACTTCTCGCATCCAACCTTTACTGTAATCCACATAATTCTTGCATTTACACATTCATATTCTCTTTTCTCCTTCCATAACTGATCATTCAACATTACTGCTACCCCTTCCTTTGCTCTAACTCTCTCAGATACTCCAGATTTAATCCCATTTATTTCCCCCCACCGAAACTCCCCTACCCCCTTCAGCTTTGTTTCGCTTAGGGCCAGGACATCCAACTTCTTTTCATTCATAACATCAGCAATCATCTGTTTCTTGTCATCTGCACTACATCCACGCACATTCAAGCATCCCAGTTTTATAAAGTTTTTCTTCTTCTCTTTTTTAGTAAATGTCTACAGGAGAAGGGGTTACTAGCCCATTGCTCCCGGCATTTTAGTCGCCTCATACAACACGCATGGCTTACGGAGGAAAGATTCTTTTCCACTTCCCCAAGGTTCTATCAAAGCTAAAACATTGGGTAGTTTCAAATTTAGGTTGGATAAATACATGAGTGAGAGGGGTTGGGTTTGAGTGGGACTTGCACATGAGTAAATGGAATTATTGAAGCTTATTGCTCAGGTAGTGTTTATTCTGTTAGTGGGTTGGATTTGTGAAGGACCTGCCAAGTATGGACCAACAGGCCTGTTGCAGTGTTCCTTCGTTCTTATGTTGAGTGGAACAATCTGCCTAGTATGGTTACTTGGATAGTTTCAAATTTGTGTTGGATAAATACATGAGTGAGAGGGGTTGGATGTGAGTGGGATCTGCACATGAATAAGTAGAATTATCAAAGCTTATTGCTTGGGTAGCATTGAAAATTGAGTTGGACAAATACTCTGTTAGTGGGATGAATTGTGAAGGACCTGCTTAGTATGGGCCAACAGGCCTGCTGCAGTGTATTATTATTAGTACATATGTATAATAATAATAATAATAATAATAATAATAATAATTATTATTATTTTTTTTTTTTTTCAACAAGTCGGCCGTCTCCCACCGAGGCAGGGTGACCCAAAAAAGAAAGAAAATACCCAAAAAGAAAATGCTTTCATCATCATTCAACACTTTCACCACACTCACACATAATCACTGTTTTTGCAGAGGTGCTCAGAATACAACAGTTTAGAAGCAATACACGTATAAAGATACACAACATATCCCTCCAAACTGCCATATCCCAAACTCCTCCTTTAAAGTGCAGGCATTGTACTTCCCATTTCCAGGACTCAAGTCCGACTATATGAAAATAACCGGTTTCCCTGAATCCCTTCACTAAATATTACCCTGCTCACACTCCAACAGATCGTCAGGTCCCAAGTACCATTCGTCTCCATTCACTCCTATCTAACACGCTCACGCACGCTTGCTGGAAGTCCAAGCCCCCTTGCCCACAAAACCTCCTTTACCCCCTCTCTCCAACCCTTTTGAGGACGACCCCTACCTCGCCTTCCTTCCCCTATAGATTTATATGCTTTCCATGTCATTCCCACTTTGATCCATTCTCTCTAAATGACCAAACCACCTCAACAACCCCTCTTCTGCCCTCTGACTAATACTTTTATTAACTCCACACCTTTTTCTAATTTCCACACTCTGAATTTTCTGCATAATATTTACAACACACACTGCCCTTAGACAGGACAAACTCCACTGCCTCCAACCGTCTCCTCGCTGCTGCATTTACCACCCAAGCTTCACACCCAATAAGAGTGTTGGTACTACTATACTTTCATACATTCCCTTCTTTGCCTCCATAGATAACGTTTCTTGACTCCACATATACCTCAATGCACCACTCACCTTTTTTTCCCTCATCAATTCTATGATTAAAACCCCATCCTTCATAAATCCATCCGCCAACACGTCAACTCCCAAGTATCTGAAAACATTCACTTCTTCCATACTCCTCCTCCCCAATTTGATATCCAATTTTTCTTTATCTAAATCATTTGATACCCTCATCGCCTTACTCTCTTCTATGTTCACTTTCAACTTTCTACCTTTACACACATTCCCAAACTCATCCACTAACCTTTGCAATTTTTCTTTAGAATCTCCCATAAGCACAGTATCATCAGCAAAAAGTAACTGTGTTAATTCCCATTTTGAATTTGATTCCCCATAATTTAATCCCACCCCTCTCCTGAACACCCTAGCATTTACTTCTTTTACAACCCCATCTATAAATATATTAAACAACCATGGTGACATTACACATCCCTGTCTAAGACCTACTTTTACCGGGAAGTAGTCTCCCTCTCTTCTACACACCCTAACCTGAGCCTCACTATCCTCATAAAAACTCTTTACAGCATTTAGTAACTTACCACCTATTCCATATACAGTGGACCCCCGCATACCGTTGGCATCACATACCGTTTATTCCGCATACCGCTCACTTTAATCGCAAAAATTTTGCCTCACATACGCTCAAAAACCCGCTACACGCGCTCTTCGTCCGAGACGTCGTCCAATGTGCGCCTTAGCCAGCCTCACATGTTCCGCCGGTGGCATTGTTTACCAGCCAGCCTCCGCGGTAGCATCCAAGCATACAATCGTAACATTTCGTATTATTACTGTGTTTTTGGTGATTTTATCTGGAAAATAAGTGACCATGGGCCCCAAGAAAGCTTCTAGTGCCAACCCTACAGCAATAAGGGTGAGAATTACTATAGAGATGAAGAAAAAGATCATTGATAAGTATGAAAGTGGAGTGCGTGTCTCCGAGCTGGCCAGGTTGTATAATAAAAAACCCCAATCAACCATCGCTACTATTGGTGGTACAGCTGCTGCTGCTGCACTGTCAGCTGCTGTTGCTGCTGTAGCATCATCTGCTGCTGCTGTAGCATCGTCTGCTGCTGCTGTAGCATCGTCTGCTGCTGCTGTAGCACTGTCAGCTGCTGCTGCTGCTGTAGCATCGTCTGCTGCTGCTGTAGCATCGTCTGCTGCTGCTGTAGCATCGTCTGCTGCTGCTGTAGCATCGTCTGCTGCTGCTGTAGCATTGTCTGCTGCTGCTGCTGCTGTATCATCGTCTGCTGCTGCTGTAGCATCGTCTGCTGCTGCTGTAGCACTGTTGGTGTGGCTTATTGAGAATATACCAAGAAACAATTAATCCCAGAGGATTTGCCACCCAGGATAACCCAAAAAAGTCAGTGTCATCGAAGACGTCTAACTTATTTCCATTGGGGTCCCCTTTAAACTTGTCTCCCAGGATGCAACCCACACCAGTCGACTAACACCCAGGGAACAGGGAAAATGCCTGGAACTAGTGCTCAAATTGGTGAATTAAACAAAGGGGGGTTGGTTTGAGAGATTTAAGAATCGTAGTGACATACACAGTGTGATAAGGCATGTTCTGGAAGAAAAAACCAAACAGGACCTACAGTACTCAGGAGGAAAAGGCACTCCCAGGACACAGTGTCTCATCATCATTGCTGCATCTTCAATAAAGGTAAGTGTCATTTTATTCTTCATTTAGTAGACTAGTACATGCACAATATATACTGTGCATGTACTACTCTACTATTGTGCCATGTATCCTTCTCTTTTGTGTAGGAAAATGTAATTTCACGTGGGAAAAAATTTTTTTCAACTTTTGGTGTCTTGCAAAGGATTAATTTTATTTCCATTATTCTTATGGGAAAATTCATTCGCATACCGATTATTTCGCATACCAATGACCCTCTTGCACGGATTAAAATCGGTATGCGGGGGCCCCCTGTAAATTGCAACATCTGCCACATTGCCCCCCCTATCCACTCTATCATATGCCTTTTCTAAATCCATAAATGCAATAAAAACTTCCCTACCTTATCTAAAACTGTTCACATATATGCTTCAATGAAAAAACTTGATCTACACTCCCCTACCCACTCTGAAACCTCCTTGCTCATCCGCAATCCTACATTCTGCTTACCTCTAATTCTTTCAATTTTAACCCTACCGTACACTTTTCCTGGTATACTCAATAAACTTATTTCCCCTATAATTTTACAATCTCTTTTGTCCCCTTTCCCTTTATATAAAGGGGCCATACATCTCTCCCCCCAATCCCTAGGTACCTTCCCCTCTTCATACATTTATTAAATAAAAGTACCAACCAATCCAACACTATATCCCCCCTGCTTTTTAAAATTCTGTTTCCCTGTTTCCC